ACATGACAGCGACTACCGAGAACGCTAGAGACAGAGAACACTCAACTCTTGTTTTTTTGCCAAAGTAGAAAGATAAGCTGCTACCGAGAACGCTCGATCGAGGCAGAGAATGTTCTACCATGTTTTTCTCTCCGATAAGAAAACGAGTCAGATTGGCTCGTCGACAGCGGAGATGAAGCTCTACCCCGTTTCTCACTACTCATTATTAGTAGAATCTGGATAAGATTTTCGGAGATTTGGAGCGCTCTAGAAAAGGATTTGGATCAGAGGAGGCCTTTTTATCACGCGATAGTGTTTTTTATTTTTCGGTGTTGGATTATTTTTCGGGGATTCCGGTAACCGGTTTTTCCCCATAATGCACACGAATCGATTTTCGCGCGATAATATGCTCAATGGTATTCGGCGCGATTTGGATATTTTCGGAGCGGAGTTTATTACGAACTTTCTATACAGAACAAAGTAAAGGCTAATGTTTTTTTTAAGAATAATTATAAATATGTGTTTTTTCTTAAATATGTTTTAGTGCTTCAAATATTTAAGCCTATTCCACAATATGTTCTTTGTTTCCTGTTTCTTGTTTTTTATTTTTGCTTTATTCTCCTTTACAATCGTTTTATTGATAATTATATTTTTTGTTACGTATTTCTTATTTCTTTTGAAGTTCGTTAATTTTTTTCTCATGCGATATCAAACAAAAAACCGGATTAGAAGCAAAAATACAAGATGTAAAAAATAGCAAAAAGCAAGAAATAAAAAGCACATTGTAAAACAGGTTTTAAACAGTACTATAAAAAAATATATTTAAAACGTATTAAAAACATTAATTAAGCATATTTGAAACTGTTTAAAATATGTTTGAAACATGTTTTTTACTAATTCTGATATAGAATCGGTCTGCTGAGAATGATGGGGGAGAAGAGGGGAGAGGCATTGTTACAATATTACCTGACCGAAGAAAGAAATCTTTATTAAATATACAAAGTGTTTCAAAATTCGCGTTTGCGAAATACAAATATTTTATGTTAAAAGATACAACTTTTTCCTTTTGCAAAATTGTGCCTGACAAGTAGTTTTTGAAGAAGAGCATGCTGAAATTAACGAATAAGCGCTCTGGTCTGGCGCTTAAGACCGGTGCGCTCTCCTCAGTTACTTGTAATCCTTGGCTAATATTCATAATTAATATTTTAAGATACTAATACGGCTTTGTTATGATTTACTTAAGGCAATCTTAACTATAAAAATCAATTATGAGTACTGGATTATATAATCTTCTTCCGTGTTGTATTGCTTAAAACAGAGCTGTCCAAGGTTTTGATTTCGATTCGCTGTTCAATTTTTTGAAATCGAAATGTATCGGTATTCACACCTATTACCGTTCCTACTTTTTACTTGATTATTGTTTTGTCGCAGCGTGCGACTCAGAGATGACATTAATTTAAAATCGTTAAAAATTCTTTATTCTGTGTCTTCCACTATATTTAAAAGTATTTTGCTATTCATATTTCTATAGTTATATAATATATTATGAATAATAATATTATATATTAATATTATAATATTAGTAATAGAATACTTTTAAACATAGTGAAAGACACAAAAACTTTTAATGTTTTCAGACTAGTGTCATCCATGAGACTGAGTATCACGCGACAGCAGTGAAGCGAGGAATGGTAATGAATACTGACACATTTCAATTTCAAGCAAAAATATCAATTTAAAACAATCATCTCTATAGAGGCAAGAGAATTTAAAAAAATTCTAAAAAAAAGTAAAAATTGTTTCGGTCTAAAAAATAAAGATTTACATTTTTTAAAGCAAATAATTATTATAAAATTACGCCCTTAATACATTGTAGATAATTGTTATAAAAATATTTAGAAGAAATTTTTAAAAGAATCGATAAAACCATTCCTAACATGTATGTTTCATAAAATACAATTTGCATTGATTCAATCATTTATAATGTTTGAGAAAATAGATATCTTTGAAGATCTTGTGTTATTTTCAATGTAGAATAAAGAATCAGCTTACTAATCGAAATATGTATTTTAAAACTTTATAGAATTGATTCCTTGTTTTATAATGAAAATAACAAGAGTTTTTAGATATTTATTTTCTTAAATATTTAAATGATAATTCTGATTATAATACGATTAGTAATACGGGGGAAGATCATGGTTCGATATTCATAGTTGATTCTTATATTTTAAAACTGTCTTAAGTACATACTAAAGCAGTTGTAAACTAATCATAACAAAGCCATATTAGTATCTTAAAATATTACTTATGAATATTAGTCAAGAATTTGTACAAGTGAATGAAAAGCGCGCGCCGATCCTGAGCGCCATATAACCAGAACGTTAATTCGTTAACTTCAACCTACTCTCCTGCAAAAATCATCATCAAAATTATTTATCAGACTCAATTTTGCAAAAGGAAAAGTTATTTCTTTTAACATAAAGTATCACGTTTTGTACTTTGCATATTTTAAAATACCCTGTACATAAGAAAGAAATTGTTGTTAAAGAAATTAGGAAGTTTTCGTTAAATTTTCTGTTGTATATAACTAAGATTCGAGAAGAATGTATTCTGGGCGAATTACCGAAAATTCGAGTATTCCGTAGGTGATCTTAAAATCTTTAATATTCTTTGTAGGTGATCTAAAAACTTTAAACTTCAAAAGGAAGTATAATCAACTGACTCTCGAAGCGCTCTTGTGGATTCTTTAACTATAGTCAGCATCGCAAATAATAAATGAAAAAAATTGAATGTTCCTTCTTAAGTGATTCGTCATACCTTTGCTGCAATATTTCCTATATTGTTGTGTAATTTTGTTCTGTTAACTCAATCAATTCCATAATTTTTGCGACATCACCAGAAAGTTGAAACTGAATGATGAAATTTTTCGATATTGGATATATGTGCTTTGTTATATATAAAAAGTAAAAGTTATCTAAAAAGTATTTCCACTCTTCAACCTTGCTTGAAATGCGGAAGTTTGATAGTAGATAATTTGATTTTGATGCTTACGTTAACTGGCCCTACGATATTCGCCACGCGATCTAGTTTATCCGTTTGCCGGGCAAAAGTCGCTAACGCCTTGTTTTCTTTTGATTGTATTATGGTGACCGAAACATCGGCCTAACACATTGCTAACTTACGCATCATAATTGTTGCATCAATTCGATTTGTAATTATAACAATTTTGTGATTACATCGATATTCTGCGATGTCTTCCTTGGACGTCTGCTTGAAATCGTTTTAATATAGTCTTTACCGCAAAATATCTTTCAATAAATTCCATGGGTTCTTCCTCCATTGTACCTTTTGCAAAAATCTCACTTGATTTCTTTAGTAATTGTCTTTGAATAGCCTCAAACTCACGATGTTTTTTTCAATTTTTTAATCTCACTTTGACTTGCTCTTTATCCAAAGCCTATTCAAAGCCAGTCTTGGCTTCTATTGATTCCAACTCGTTTTCAATCTCGTTAATTCTCAGTGAGAAATGGTAATGAAATCGATATTGAATCGATGTCGATTCGACATCGATTTCATTATTATTTCTCACTAGATTTAGCCTTTGTATAGCCTCGTGTCTTGAGTAGATCGGCAATCTTCGATTTAACTCTGTTATCTTTAACCTTATCATACTCTCGGAATTGAGCAGTCGTTTGTAGTTTGAATAAGATCAATATTAGATCTGAACGTTATCTGCACGTGGATTCGAATCGAAGAACCAATGCTTGGGATAACAAAAGAAAACTTACTAGATAATACAAATATCGTCTTTATTATTGATTCATTCTTACAATCAATTCAATTCGAAAACGTACGGAAATGTAAATTACGGAAACGTACTGAACTCTCTTCACTTTGCTCTCTTCGCTTTCTATCTCTTACTCGCCGGAATGCATGAAGGTAAAATTACGTGACATTCAAATGAAGAAATATAACAAGCTGAAAAAGATAATAGATGAAGTGTTAACAAGAAAGAAAAGTAACATTTTATACAGGAAAAAATTTTTATTTCATTGGGACGAAGCAAAAGTAAGACTTAAATGATGTTTTATTTAAGAAAAAAAAAAAAGAAAAAATTTAATATTGAGAACAGAAAATCTGTCTCAGAAGACTGTTTCGCCCATGATTGTTTATGATACGTGGTTTTTCCGTGGAATTTTTGGCAAATGCTGAGATGAGGATTAGGGAGTCTGTTTTTTAAATGATTGAATTCTCTCCTTTTCCCCGAAAATTCAAGAGGTAAGAGTCTAAGACATAAGAAAGATCTGAGAGATTCTATGGGTTCGTATACGAATAAGATTCGTATACGAATAAGATTCGTGATATACTGTTCAAAATCTTGTGACAGCAATCCAGGTTAAAACAAAGCAGCACGAAAGGGAATCCATGACCAGAATAACTTCAGTTGTTGGGACAACTCGAGAGAGATAGGGGAAGTTACGATTGCGCCTTCGTGTCCCATATTCGGCTGTCAACTGAACAACGAGGTAAAGTTGATTGAAGAAACGAAGATCGATCGAAAGAATTTCGTTGAATTGAAAACTGTTTTTGACAGACCGATTGTATCGATTGCAAATAAAGTTTCTTTTATAGAAACGTATTTATTCATTACCTAAGTATCACGAAAGTGTATCTTCAGGAAAGTTATGATTCACTCGGCAGACATAACTTATTGTAAATGTGATTTTTTTACTAATAATATTAGTTTTTTTTATATCACTTTCGCAATGTAGCACGTTTTCTTATGTGGGCACAGACAAGACTTCTAATTGTCCTTGTAACGAAACAAACAACTGGATATTGATATTCTTGTACACAATCTCAGTATTACTAAGTTTATTTAGAAGACAATACCGAAACCCATCTCTATTCGTTTTTTAAAATTCATAATTAAAGAATTAACATGCCGTAAAAGACTCCGCGTTACTGGTAGAGGATTAAAAAGCTGTTATTCTATTTATTTGCTATTATTGCATTTCTAGTTGGACCATCATCGGGGAGTAAACTGTCATCATCGTCTCCTCCAGCAGTACATGATAATGGTGGACATCAAACAACTATCAACAACTCTTTGCAATGGCCTAGTCCTCATACTGTACATGACATTCTGGCTAATAGTTGTAATGTACAGAACTCGTCGTCTTCTTCACCAACTTCATCATTATGCTCCACGATCAATAATAATCATCATCACAATCGTCGTGATGACAATTCTGTTAACAATGATAATAACAGTAATAATGAGAATAATAATGATGATAGAATATCGGGCGGTTATCTTCACCATCATCATTCTCATCTAGCACATCAACAGTATTACGCATCAGCGCTGTATCATCATCATCATCATCATCGTACAGATGCTGTGACAGCAGCAACCATATCATCTACACTTTCTGTACAAGCCATTATGTTGCAGTCAGGAACAACAAATCATCCAGCCAGCCCTTGCAATTAGATAAAATAACATTATTTTATAAATTGAAATCATCCAATAATTAACGTTTTTATTTTCTGTATATTATTAAGTTTTTCAAATATACTTTTATGCCTTACAGTACTAAAAAGACTTTTGTATTAAAATATATTTTAAGTAAAAATGATAAGTGATATAGAATCATTATAGGTGACAGAGGAGACATTTCAATACCTTTGAGAAACGGACTTTGAGATTATTTTTATCAAATATAAAAAGTAATTGTTTCTTTATATAAAAAAGAAATTTCCATTTGTAAAAACAATAAATATATAAAATTTTTGTTTAAGGACAAAGCTTTCAAAAACTTATTACTAGATTATGAAAGTTTATGCTTATATTTAAATATATATTATTCCTTAATAATAATTTCATTATTAAGGAATAATATTTATTATTAAGTTTCCTATTCCATTTAGAAATTATAAATGACTTATTAATAATAATCTGCAATAAGTTACAGTTTTTCATTTTAATTTTACGTGAGAATTACAAATATCCTATAGTAAATTTACTATGCAGGGTATGATAAGACTGCTCAAAGATACGCAACACTTAGAAATATGCATTGAATTTTATAGCGCATCTGTTACATTGCAACTGTAACTCACACAGAATGTGCCTGTAGTTAGGTTTTCTGTCTCGAAAGATAGTTAATATCGTTGCAATAAAAAAGATATATTAAATTTTGTAATTTTTACCATTTTATTATTGTATCACGAATAAATTGACATTAAATTGTTGCTTTATGAATCTGTATCATCTATATTGTGTGCATGGCCGAATTAAGATTTCTGTCATTCTTGAGCACTTAAATCGTTGTCGTCCCTATTTAATTCTCAAATTGAGATATCTCAAGTCTATGTTTGCGAACAAACATACGGAACATAACAAAAATAAGGAATTTTTTGTAAGAATTGTACTAGTTCAACTCAATTACAATAATTTTTATGTATACACTTAGAAGTTACAAAATTATATACATTTTGTTTTTTATGCGCTTTTTTAAGCGCATAAAATTATACATAGCAAACTTGTTTGTAAACCAACTAATTCCATTCTATGTATATTTCATATCGATGATACGAAAAAAGATCCTTCTCGGATTTCTCTCTGGTAGAATGAAATGACAAGAAAATCGCAAAATCTCGACATAAATCTCGATATAATGATCATCGATCCAAGAATAATTTTCTAAATCATTTGCATCTGGCAAAAATGACTATTTTTTAAAAAATTCTTTAAAAAAAATTCTTTAAACAAAATGCTGTCTTCCTAAACTTGTCGCCCCTAGACACAATCTATAGATTAACCTCTAGTGTCTGATTGTGCATATACATTTCTGCTTCATATTTATAGCGAATTTGATGAATAGAACTGGTGTGCATTGGCACATATTAAAGTTTTTTGAACAATAATTTGTTGATAGTAAAAGTAAAATACTAGCATTTCGAATTAAATATTTTTGTTTTATCTAGTACAATAAAATGTACTGATGATTTCATAGTTTAATTAATTTTATATTAATATACATGTATATATTTTTACAATTTGTATAACGGCTTTAATGTACATTAGTGCATCCAATTGAATTCATTATTAGCGAAATATTCATTTAGATTGCGTTTCATTGCATCTATATGCGTGATGTATTATTTTATTTTTGTTTAACACTCTGCAAACAACAAGGATACTTCATGAAAAATGATACTTCATGAAATGGTTTTGTCTACAAATCAATTACCTATAATATCGTTTGCTTACATCACTATTGCTGATAGTTCATTTGCACACATAAATTATTGCCTACAAATTGCCTGCATGTACTTTTGCGCACAAATAAAAATTTTAGCAACGGAGTGACTATTGCCTACATGTACTATTGCTTACAAGTACTTTTTGGGCACAAAAAAAGATTTTAGAAACAAAGTTACTTTTGCCTACATGTTTATTGCTTATATGTACAATTGCCTACAAGAATTTTTGCGCACAAATAAAAATTTATATATATGGTATACGAATTGTGATGTCAGAAATGATTATGAATTTAATTACATTTTTTGTGACGTCATCTAGGAAAATGCGTTGAACTAAAACATTTTTTTCGTAATTTTTTATTTACTCTCTAGGAACAAAAAAGTATGTAACAACTAGGTTTTAAGATAATTATGAATACGCATACAGAATAAGCATCCGTGAAAAATTGATATATACATATATATATATATATATATAACAAGAAATTTTTATTTTGAACAACCGGTGTCTCCAAGTACTACAATACATGAAATTAACATTAATTCTAATAATTTTAATCAAAGCGAATACAATATTATGAAGCTTAATTTAGAAAAATTTATAA